GGGAACGAATAACCAAGGGTCGGTAATGGCAAGGATGAAAACTTTGCATTATGAATGAACGCGACGAATTCATTATGAAAAGTCCCTAAACACGACGGCCTGGGTGCCGCACAGCGAGGAGGCGCTGGAAGGGGCAGCTCGGTTGCCATATGAATTCGCAGTCTTCCCAGCTCAGGGAATGTTAAGCCAAACGTGGTTTCAGGGGTGTCTCTGAGCATCAGTGCGCATGCACAGCGTGGGGAGAACACACGCTTCCCAGTGCCCCCCATGAATCCTTAGGGGGGTTGATGATGACAGAGCCTTGCTCTAGAGCAGTGGTTCTCAACCACTTCCTAAGGCCGCGACCCTTTAATACAGGTCCTCATGTTGTGGCGACCCCCAGCCATAAAATTACTTTCGTTGCTACTTCATCACTGTAATGTTGCTACTGTTATGAATCGTCATGTAAATATCTGATATGCAGGATGTATTTTCATTGTTACAAATTGAACATAATTAAAGCACAGTGATTAATCACAAAAACAATATGTAATTATATGTGTGTTTTCCGATGGTCTTAGGCGACCCCTGTGAAAGGGTCCTTCCACGCCCAAAGGGGTCGCGACCCACAGCTTGAGAACCACTGCTCTAGAAGATGTACCAGTTGGTGAACTTCTTTGGAGATTATCTCCAATGAGCGCCATTTGTGAAACTTTTGATTGCAACAAAGGCATCGCATCTGAAGTCAGAGATAGTATGATTTTAATTCAGTGTAATCCAGTGCATGGTTAATTTAAAAAGAAACAAATTTATGACAAAGCTATAGATGAAGACAGGGACTTCAGATCTAAAAATCATCACTTAATTCCAAATTGAGTATCTAATAAATGATTACATAAATAGCCATTAGGGTGAAATGTGTTTAGGCAGTTTTGTTTAGTTTTTTTATTTTTTATTTAGAGACACAAGAAGAAAGAGTCTGACCTTGGGATTTGATGGTTAGACCGTTATTAGTAACTGGTAATGACATGAAGGATTTAAAGTGGATTTTTAAAAGGCTTTTTTCATATCCTGGCCAGTTTGGCTCAGTGGTTGGTGCATCGGCCTGTGGACGGAAGGGTTGCAAGTTTGATTGAGGTCGGAAGCATGTACCTAGGCTGCAGGCTCCATCCTGTAGGGATGCTGGCAGGAGGCAGCCAGTTGGTGTGTCTCTCTCACATTGATGTTTCTCTCTCTTTGTCTCCCCCCACCTTCCACTCTCTTTAAAAATCGACGAGAAAAATATCCTCGAGGATGAGGATTAACAACAAAAACATGTTTCTGTCCTATTCCAGCTACTGCTTTTAATAGTGTAAATTACAACGCAAGTAATTAAATGTCTGTCCCATCCTAAGAAAAGCACCTTAGGTATAACAAACAACTGGGAGGACAATGTGCGATAAATGATTTATGTAACTAGTTGCCTTGCTTATGACTACCGGGAGGCACATTTTAACAAAACCCCAATCGCCCCTTGGGCCCGGCTGTGTGGGAGCGGGAGCCGTGGGAGGGAAGGCTGGGCACGAGGGGTCTCCATTGCTGTTACAGCTTTGGAGCAGGGTAGGCATTTCAGTTCACACCCAGTGATGCGCTGGATCAAAATACACATACTGCATACCTGGGGTTGTCTTTTCTGTCTAAACACCTGTGCTCCTCAGAACTTGCCCATTTCATGTCTGTGCTCTCTGTGATGCTACACCTCCTGCAACGCAAATAGCACTCTTCCACGTTCTTTATCTCTTAGCTCCCTTTGGAGGAAAACCAGGAAGCGGGTTGCTCGGTAGAACAGGATAAGGCATTACCTCTCTACCAATACAGCTGTCTTGGCACTGAGACCGCTTCAAACCACGTACGTTTCTCGCTTGGATAATGATTGAGATGTCAGCTGCCCTGACCTAGACAGCTACGGAAACATAATCCAACTTCAGTCTGAAAACTGATGACTGTGATGACTGAGACATATGGAGAAGAACTGCAGGATGGAAAACCCTTAGGAAAATTCAGCTTAGAAAAATGTCATTTTGGCACCTCAGTATTTCTTATTTGACCCCCTTTAACCTTTACTCCCCCCCCCTTCCACCCGGTAACCCCCATACTGTTGTCTGTGTCATGATGTTTGTTTATTTTCCTTGTTTGTTCATTTGCTGTTTTCAGTTTTATATCCCAATATGAGTGACAGCATATGGTCCTTGACTTTCTCTCTCTAATGTATTTTCCTTAGCGTGGTATTCTGATGCTCCATCCATGTTGTCGTAAGTGGCAGTGTTTCATCTTTTCTGATGGCCAAGTAGTATTTCATTGTATATGTGGATCACGTCTTCTTTACCCAGTCATCTATTGAGGGACACTTTGGTTGTGTTCATGTCTTGGTCACCTTGAATAATGCTGCCGTGAACACAGGGTTGCATATATCTTTGCAAATAAACGCTTTCAGAAATTTCTGGGAGGTACTCAGGGATTCTGGGTGATGTGGTAATTCTATTCTTAATTTTTTAGGAACCTCCATACTGTTTACCATGGTGACTGTACCAGGTTACATTCCCATCAACAGTGAATGAGAATTCCCTTTTCTCCACAACTTCTCCAACACTTGTCACTGAATTGTTGGTAACAGCTGGTCCAGCAGGTGTGCAGGACGTCTCATGTTGGTTTTAATTTGCGTTTCCCTAACAGCTAGTGATGTTGAGCATCTCCACATATCTCTGTTGGTCTTTGTATGTCTTCTTGGGAGAAGTGGCTGTTTAGAGCCTCTCCCCATTTTTTAAACTGGATTTTAAATTTTTGTTGTTGTTAAGTTATATGAGTTCTCTATATATTTTGATATTAACTCTTTATTGGAGGTGGGTGTTGTGTGAAAATATCTTCTCCCATTCTGTTGGTTGGCCTCTATTAAAAATATATCTCACCCTTTAAAAATAGCAATTCTTTGTATTTCAGTTTTTTAAATTTTCTTTTTTTTTGTCTTTTTAAAGAATGTGTGTAACAATTTTATAGTGATGTTTGTGGTCCAGTGTCAGATGTTAAAGTGAATGGGTAGCCCTGGCCAGTCTGGCTTAGATAGTTGGAGCATCCTCTCATACACCAAGAGGTGCAGGTCTGATTCCCAGTCAGGGCTCTGATGGGAGGCATCCTATCGATGCTTCTCTCTCTTTCATAAATCAAAAATAAGATAAAACCGTTATTTAAAAAATAAATTAATAAAGTAAGGCGCATGCATATGTGTACAACAATGTTGCCAGTATTGAACTTCAAATCTAACGTCTTCTTCTTTAAAAAGACTTTGATTTAAAATAACACAATAACTGGAATATAGTCTCCTCTGTACCTGGTTTAACTTAACCTCTCCTAGGAGACTTACATGTCTGCATGTACAGATCTACCCCCTGATAATTCCTGCCTAGTCTTTCATTTTATGGATGTACATAAATTATGCAAATACTCTCCAATAAATGAGCCTCCAGTAAGTTTACAGACAGTTCTTATCATCAGGAATGTTTGTGTCTATATCATTTTGTTTGCATATGTTAGCATATATGTAAAGTAAGAACCTTATTACAGTGCCTGGGTAGGTTTTCTAGATGAAGGCTTTGTAAGATTTTGAATTTTGCCAAGTATTTCCGGTTGTCCTAAGGTAAACCACACTCTTCTACATGCCTGTCTACCACCACAAGGTAGAGGGACCTGCCCTGCCCCTCTGGGCTGAAAGATTACAGAAAGACATCCCCCTGGAGCACCTACTGGGTCTCCTCTCTCCTTTACACCGCTTCCCATCCCCAGCTCCGTGCCTTCGGGCAGGCCCAGCTGCACAGCTGTCCTCAGAGGCTCTGACCTCCTGCAGTGTTTGTAGGACTGCCCATTCCCCCCGTGTCCTCTAAAGTTTTATTTTTGCCTTATGGTAGGTGAAAGAACAGGGTATTTTAATTTGTGAAATGAATTTATGAAGGAAAACCTCTCACTTCTCCTAGCACATTACTTTCATGAAAGCAGATCCAACCATTGAGCACCTACTGTGTGCCCACCCTACTCCAGGTGCCAGGGATACATGAGTGAGAAACACTCACACACACACACACACACACACACACAATGCCTGCCATCATGAATGGGCAGTCTACCTTCACTGTTTGCCCACAAATCTAGATATTTGCTTTTAAGCTTGTAGGTGGTGAACTTTCTCAGAATTGACATTTCTGGTTGAAGATACTGTGTTCTGCTCCCTGTCCTGCCATTTCCGTCATCTCGGATGAAAGGTGACCTACAGCCAAGTGCCCATCGTGGGCTCTCGAGCCTCCACTTGTGACGGGCAGACTTGTGTCACACAAGAAGTTCTACTACATTTTTGC